CACCTCCAATATCAGTAAATAAAATAGAACTCATCCCATCTCAATATTAATAACAACTACACTAAAACATGTTGATAACACTAAATCACCAACATTCTTCCCCCATTTTTAGTGTAATCCTAAATTAACTAAAAGCAAACACAACAACAAACTCCTGCATAAATGAAAATATCTTGAAGATTGAATTTTCACATTAGTACAGTACATACTAGGTGTAAGACCCATGTATTACATGAGTTAATTAAAAAAATTAAATATGAATGTCCAAATATTTCAGAACTTTTGATTTATAAGAAAATAAGAAAAATAATGAATTATTAAAATTGATTTTTTTATCTTTTAAATTTAAATAAATAAACAAAATAAACTAATAGGTTTTCATTTGGGAACTTATTTATAAGAAGGTAAGTCCATTAATGAAATTGATATTCATTTATTACTACATTTATTATAATTATTACATTAAAGTATTATGTGGAATTTATTAAAGTAGGAAAACCCATAAAATGACATGTGGAAAAGAAATTAATTCAAAATAACCACAAAATGACATTTGGCAAATTGAATGAGAATATGACATGTGGCAAAAAAAACCTTCATTTATTAGAGTAGATTTCAAGTACACGAGAATCAGGGTGTCGTAAGGATTGAACCCTTCAACTCATTTGAGTAACTGAGGATAATATATACATAAGTTAAAAGCCTAGCCCAAGCTTTCTGAAGTGGAAACACTTCACACCCATATTGGTAGTCCTTCTATATCATGCACCTGTTAATGCACTTTTTCAAAAGAACTATTAAGAACTTAATCAAGCTACTTTAAGTTTACAGGTTATAAGTACATACCTTGGGATGTAGTAAAATAAATGTGCTTCAATCTCCATAAGAAAGCTTTCCATAGTGAATTCAAATTCTAACCTTGTATTAGAAGGGAATTGGGTATCTCACCCATAGAGATATCAAGTGGGCCTTAAACTCATCCTTATCATAGACTTCTTTACTAGGTCTCTAGCTAACCCCTTCGTCAAGTGATCAGCTAAGTTTTGTTGAGATCAAACAAACTTAACATAAATAATACCATGAGTAATGAGTTCACGTACCATACCGTGCCTAACACCGAAATGTCGTGACTTTCCATTATACACTTAACTATATGCTTTTTTATGGTGGCAATACTATCACAGTGTATAGAAATAGATGATACAGGCTTGGCCACAAAGGAAATTCATAGATAAAATTCCTTAACCATCTCACTTCTTTTCCAGCAGCTGCAAGGGCTACAAATTCTGATTCCATAGTTGAGTTTGTGATACATGTTTGCTTCTTAGAAACCCATGAAATGGCAACTCCACTAATAAGAAATACCCAACCACTGTAGAAGAGTGGTCCTCAACATTAGTGATCCAACTAGCATCTGAATATCCTTCAATAACCGAAGGAAACCCTACATAAGTCAAACCAAAGTCCATGGTTTTTTTAAGATACTTTGACACTCTCCTTATTGCTTTCCAGTGATGAGTACTAGGATTGCTTGTAAATCTACTTAGCTTTCCTACAAAAAACACAATATCAGGTCTTGTGTTGGTCATACATACATCAAACACCCAATGACCTTTGAATACTCAAGTTGTCAAAATGCTTCACCATTGTTTGGCATAAGTTTCATACATGGATCAAAATGAGTACTAATAGGAGAATAATCTAAACAATTGAACTTCTTAAGCACTTTCTCAATGTAATGAGACTATAAAATTGAGATCCCTTGATGTTTACGCTTGATTCTTATTCCAAGAATCACTTTTGCCTCCCCCATATCATTCATGGAGATCTGAGATGATAAAAAACTCTCTTGGTCATATCAACTTGCCTTTGATCAGTACCAAAGATTAACATATCTAACACTTACATCATCATGATGTCATCAAGTGAGTTTTGACGGGAAATACATTACTAGAGTCATACCTGATATATAAATCAGTTTAGGTTTCGGGGAGCTACCCCTTGACCCCGTCCGTTGACCGGTCATCGGAACCACCACCAGTAGCTCTGCCCTTTGGTCCCTGCTAGGGGTGGTGCCTCTTATTACCCCGTACCTAAGGGCACGTCCCCCGGACCCCCGTATACCGAGCTCATATTAATCACTCCGAGTGTGCATCCCACACCTCCAATCTTGGTAAGTGAAATAGATCTCAACTTATTTCAATATTAATAACAACTACACTAAAACATGTTGGTAACACTAAAATTACCAACATTAATCAGTTAATCCAAATATATAATAATAATAACAATAATATTTAAAAATACTTTATATTTTAAAACAGATAATCTATATCATTGAGATTGAGTTTAGTTACAATAATATAACTCACATGTTATTAATGAAAAACAATACATACAATTAACAAAAAAAGGATCTAAACTATTTAAGAAAGAGAAAATTGCAAATTTAGCCAAAAATGTTAATTATTTTGTCGAATATAGGCAAAAAACCCAAAATTGCAAAATTTAGCCATCAGGTTTGCAGATGGGTTTGCTATGTTCGCAAATGGACTAGTCCATTTGTGAACGTACAAGCCGCTGAAGCACAGCCCGTGCTTCAGCGACTTGTACGTTCGCTGGTGGACTAGTCCATCTGCGAACATAGCAACCCATCTGCGAACCAAGGCCTGGCTAACTATAAAAACATATTTTTTTTGTTCATTTTCACTCTTTTTTGTTGGAAAACTCTCTGGGAAGCGATTTTTTTACCCCACCGGTTACAACGCAAACATAATATTCATTTATTTTTTTAGAGAGGTTTTCAGCACATTTTCCAAAGAAATAACAACTAAACTAATAATTTTTTGCAAAAAATTATATATAACTAGAAAAGGACACGCGGCTCCGCCGCTTTTTAAAGTTGCCAAAGTTAGGTAAATATAGTGGCAAAATTCTAAAAGAGGTTTTTTTGTGTTTTTTAATCAAAATGTAAAAGTTTTGACTACAAGGACGAAAAGTGTCAAATTCATTAAAGCTTTGTGGCAAAAACACCAAAATGTAAAACTTTTGACTGTAAGGACTAAAAGTGCCAAAGTCACTAAAGATTTGTGGCAAAAACCTAAAGTCATAAAAACTTAATAAAACATAAAAATGTAAAAGTTTTGATTTTAGGGACAAAAAATGTCAAATGCACCAACCATTTGTGGCAAAAACCTAAAATCAAAAAATTTACTGTTACTAAGATCCTTTGGATTTAATATATATAATATATATATATATATTATATATATATATATATATATATAGATATATATATATATATATAATATATATATAATATTAATAAGGTTGTTTCGTAGTCAAACTCTATCAATTTCGTATTACAAAAAAAAATCACACATTCGCAGTTGAAAATGAGAGAAATCGCAGATAGACATAGTCCATCTGCGATTTAAAGGGGAAAGAAGGGTATTTATACATCGAAAAAAAACCTCATCTGCGAACGTACAAGTGGCTAAAGCACAAACGTGCTTTAGCCACTTGTACGTTCGCAGATGGCTTGGCAAAATCGCGAATAGACTTAATCCATCTGTGATTTTGGTGGCTAAAATGCAATTTCGTTTTTTTTTGGCTATTTTCCACAAAGTAAATTACATTTTTGGCTAAATTTGTAATTTTCTCTTTAAGAATGCAAACAATGATTTTGAAAACGAAAATAATCAAAATCGAAAGAACGAGAAACCAAAAAAAACCTAAAGTTATTTTTTATGTCAAAGACTCTTATACAGTTACAATCACACAAAAGCATTATCCAATTATAGATAGTGTTTCGATAGCAGCTACGTCTAGAAGGAAGTTACGAGCATTACGTACATGCACAACTTCCATACACGGTTAATGATATCAGCCAAATAATAATTGCGTGGTCTTGACTATCAATTATCGGTCGTCAGAAATTGAAATCTTTTAGGTTGAAAGTCATTGTGCTGATATCTAAAGCAGATACCAAACCAGATACCTAGTACAGTATATACATGTCAGACAATTAAGAAGAAATATAACGAACGACAAGTGTTGAAACTAACATTTCTTAAAATACAAACCGTTTTAGAAAAAGGTGACCGCATAATGAAACCGAAAAATCATAACGAAAAACCGAATCTTTTAAAAAAAAAAAACTGAAAAAACCATTGAAAATTTTAAACAAAATACCAAGATAAGAGATATGATAATTAATAAATAATAATCATGTTCTATCAATAAAAATTTATTTAAGATAACTCCTATACAGTTACAATCACACAAAAGCATTATCCAATTATAGATATTGCTTCGATAGCAGCTACGTCTAGAAGGAAGTTATGAGCATTACATACATGCATAACTTCCATACACGGTTAATAATATCAACCAAGTAATAATTACATGGTCTTGACTATCAACTACCGATCGTTAGAAATTGAAATCATTTAGGTTGAAAGTCATAGTGTTGATATCTAAAGCAGATACCGGACAGATACCTACTACGGTATCTACACGTCAGACAATTAGGAAGAAATATAACGAACGACAGTTGTTGAAACTAACATATCTTAAGATACGAAACGTTTTATAAAAATGTGACCGCATAATGAAACCGAAAAATTATAACGAAAAACCGAAGCTTTTTAAAAAAAATCCAAAAAAATCACTGAAAAATTAAACAAAATACCAAGATAATTAATAAATAATAATCATGTTCTATCAATAAAAATTTATTTAAGATGATCCAAATGAAATTGTTTGAATAGCTATAACGTCTAACACTTTTAGGTTGAATTTAATTTGTTTTAAAATATTAGCTGTCACAATTCAACAACAAATATCTTTCCTATTATCTTCAGCCTTCTCGTTTTCTCGATCACTCCTATTTATACATCTTCTTACTCATTCACTTCACCGCCCATCTAAACCCAATTATCCTCTCTCTATCTCTCTTCCTCTCTCTTTCTCTCTCTAGAGATCTTCAATCAGTTACAATGCACTCTGGTGATCTTGGAGATCACATTGGCATGGAGAGTTGTGTTGATTTGGGGACGGAGACTGAATCTGCACTGTCATCTGGCGGTGGTTATCGATCGGAGAATCGGAAACGATGGGGGGTGAGTACTAGATCATCAAGACTATCCGGAAAAAAAGCGAAGGAACTTCCTCCGCCGTTACCGATTCAAACGTCGACAGTGATGAAGCGGTATTACACTGAAGACGGGAGGCTGGTCATCACGGAAGAGAAGGTCGAGAGTCCGAATTATCATTTCACGGCGCACAGATCTCACGGACGTCTCACGATCCAACTCGTTCGTTCCGATGATGAGGATAACTTTCCTTCGTGTGAAAATGGAGAAGAGAATGGAATTATGGAGGAAGAGGATGAGTGTAGTGGTAAGGTGGCGATGGGCGGTGGTGGTGGTGGCGACGACGGTGGAAGTAGAGTTTTAGGGAAGTGCTTTAGTTACAACGCCGCCGTCGTGAGGGCGCCGGCTACCGGATCGTGTTTGTTGGTTAATCAAAATCAACTCCACGCGATGACGCCAGTTCAGATTTAGTTTTGGAAAAACAAAATTGATTTCATTTAATTATTTTCGTTGAGAATTATAATCAAAATCATCTTTCTTTCTTATAAAAATTCTTTGATTTTGTTTTGTTAAGAACGAAATTCCAATTCCATTATCGTATTTCGTGTGTTCAAAGAAACGTTTGAACGTAATATACTCAGACGTCATTATACGTCAAGAACTTACGTCAAGAACTTATGGATTCTTGTGAAATTTGAGTTTATAATCACTGTTAAACATGGATAATCGATAATTATGATTTTATAGTGATAATAGTGAAAGTAAAATTTGGCGTTGACTAAAGCAGTATTTGTAAAAAAAAAAAATTAGTTTTTAAATTTTGACTTTTTCGTCAGTTTTGCGATCTAAAATAATGGATGACCATATCCGTTCAAAGCCTTCTTATTATAGAATTTTTTATTTATTAAAAGTTGAATATATATACAATTATAAATATATTTAGTTTGAATTTCATAGGAATTGTGATGATTTAGTAAACTAATAAAAACTTCCATTATTTTTTCTATCTAAAACACATTGAATGATCTAAAGCTCCACAAAAGTTTTATAAAAAGTAATTAATTAAACTAACCGTTACAAATACAAATGGCCTTATTAACAAAAAATATTTTTTATGTTTTTCTATAGACTATCCATTTTCTTTAGAACATTTTATTTCAATGTAATTATGTATGTGCAGAACATGAAACCGGACATAAGTTTTTCTGGTATCTAACATTTTATATTTCAGACAGACTTATTCAAACACCGTATTGATATCGTACAGACTTATTCAAACACCGTATTGATATCGTACAAGTCGGACTTGCATTTTGGATTGTAAGTGTACATTTTTAACTGTGTTTGTACATTCGGCACACACCTTCTGTATATTACTTGATATATTACATGGTGTATTTCTAAGGATGTTTAGGCTACAAACATGTTAACAATAAGACTAGTGATAATCTAACAATAAAAAAGTACATAAAATAAGGAATGTTGGATATATTCTATGCATCCGGAGATGTTATTAACTTAAGTATAATAATATGTAAAACTAACATGGTTTAGAGTATACGGTGTGGGTCACAACGAGAAACGAATTGACCGAGTTGGCACACGAAAACGGCGTCACGACGCGGGGAACACCGCCCCCCAACTCGTTGAAGCTCGTTCTGTTGGATCTTGTGGTAACGAGGACAAGATAAAACAAGAAAGATGATTGGCTATCTCCTTCATCAACCAATCAAATAATTTTCTCTATTTTGTCTGTCTACCTCTTAACATGATATAACATGTGGAACACCATTTTCCCTGTTATGGTGGTGTTATGGATGAGGTGGCACCAATTTGGTGTTACATCCAGTTGCCCACACCCAATGCTCTTACGAATTTATGGCTAAAAACAAATAAAATATTGTTTAGGTTATAGATTTTTTCGGATTTTATAAAATGGCAATTTGGTATGGGATGTGGGTCCAAATATATATATATATAGATATATAATATATATATATATATATATATAGATATATATATATATAGATATATATATATATATCTATCCAAAGCTAGGTTCAAATGGAATTTACCTCTCTTGTGCGGACGTGTGGACAATGTTCTGTGCGAATGCTAAAGAAAATATGTTTTTTGTAATGTGAATACGTTAACTCTTACTAACTCTTGTCCTTATCCGCCTTTTCCCTATTAAATCGTCTATAAGGTTTCTCGCCTTTTTATTATTCTTATCTGATTCTGTCAGCCTGTTTATTGAGTCGTATTCTGTAAGAATGAAAATGAGTAAAAAACGATGCTTGAGAACAAAAATGAATAAAAACTAGTGAGAATGCATGAAAATGACAATAGTTGTGTGAGGTTGAACGTATTCACATTAGCAAACAACCTATTCTCTTAGTAATTCTCATAGAATAGTATTATCCACACGTCCACACAATATTGTCCATCCACATTATAACCTAGCCCTATATAAGATATATATAGATATATTATATATATATATATATAAGATATATATATATATATATATATATAGAGAGAGCGAAGAGAGAGAATTAATTGGACCCATATATAGAATATATAGAACTCGACCACATTATATATACTCTAGAAGATCTCAATCCAGAATAGCTAGTTAGGTTTTGTTTGGCGTGTGCTTATTTTTTGAGTTTTTTTTTCTTTTAAAGTTGTTATATTTGGCAAACAAAAATGTATTCTATAAGCTAGATTTAAAATATATATATATATATATATATATATATATATATATATATATATATACTTAATTAGTTTTTTTAGAAGTTTTTTAAAAATTTTCAAAATATACTCTTTAATTAATTATAGAAAACACATTTATCAAATGACTTTTTATATCATTTTTTATCTTTGAGCTACCTTATTAATTAGTTTAACAGACATTATTTTTTTTTCTCAACTAAATTTTCATAATAGCTAATTCGTCAAACATAACCTTAGTTTTAGAAAAAGAAAAAACAAAAGAAAACAAAAAACCCCTTAAAATATGATTAGTTTATAGTTAATTTTCTTTTTTAAAATATTTTCTTTAAAATTTTAAAAATCCAATGAAAGAAGATAGAATTAAGATTATTATTAAAATTTATGGATAAACATGTAAATATAAAATACATCTTCAAAACATGCCATATAGATAAAACTTGTACATAAGGATAAAGTTTTGTGGCAAAAGATATTTTAGAAACTTGGTCAAACATCTGGCAGTTATAAAATACCACATCAAGTAGGAAACACTAAATCAAATGTGAGTGTATTTTGGGAGGAAGATGCTTAAAAATTAATACGTCGTTTAGTTATTTTAAGTTCAATCACAAAGTTAACCAACTAAGTTATATAAAGCTACTAAGATTTAAACATTTATAGAAATATTATAGCGAAATAGAATTAGAAGCCTTTAGTGGTAGATTCGATGCACAAAGATGTATTAGTATAATGAGATCAAATACAGACTTTCTATCACTTACAATTGTAATCTAGTATCTAATATTCAACTAGTATAATGAGATCATACACACTTTCTATCATATTTCTCACTTTTGCTGTTGATAAAACAACTTATTGTTACTTTTTGGAGAAGCATGAGACTAAGAAGTTGACTAGAAATTCACAAACACCACCAGTACTTTTTAGGTGTAGTAGTGGAAGTTGAAGCACTCTTATGCATGTCATAACCTAAACCATTATTTATCTTAGATATTATAGATTTGGTTGTAGACTTGTAGTGTGGAAGTTTGAAGCACTATCATGCATGTCATAACGTTTAACCATGTTATCCAACCCAAACATTTTACAAACATTTTGTTTACAAAAACATTTTTCTAGTTCTTAATACTTCACATATATAGGAATCATATTTTTTCTTGATTTTAGCATTTTTGATTTTAAAACTATCACAATTTTTACATGTAGCATCTTCGTTCTTTTTATTATCTAAACATGTAATTTTTTTCATTCAAGTTTTCAATTTCTTCATTTTAACATCAATTTGCTTTTTATTTTTATGAAGTTCCTTTTGATTTCTTTAAAATGCATCTCATTTCATTGAAAGTTTTCTCAAGATCATCCTAGAGCTTCCATAAGTAGATTCATAATCATTTTGGGTAAAAATTCAGCATCTTAATTATGATTGTTTATAATATAAATAATGTTTTCATAATCACTATTAAGTACCTCTACAAAAGCTTTTCATCATCTTTTATATCTCTCCCTTTCAAGACATTAATATGTACAATGCCTAGAAGATGTAATGTAGCTTAAGCAATTGTTTCATAATGCCCATCTTACACACATTAGATGAAGACACAAGTTCGAAATTTGATTATGAAGATGAAACACGTATGTAACACATATATTTGTTAGACGCATAATCTGAACTATATGAACACATTGTTTGATAGTAGAAAATTGATAGATTTGTTTATTTTGTAATTAAGTTAGGAAGATAGGATGGTTATTGCTTATTTATGAATTTATTGTATTTAATTTTTTAAAACCTAGCCGTAGAAACGTATAGTCGTTGAAAGATATAGACGTTGAAAGTCTTCCGGGATGCTTGGAAAACAACCTGAGACTTTTTCTTTCTCCTATTTCCTTATACCATGATTTTTTTTAAAGATGGGAAGGGAGGGGAATGAGGGGGATTAGGAGGAGAAGACATGTTGTAACGCCCGGTTTCGAATCGCTTCATTATTCGGGACCGTGACCCGGTCATCAATTATCATAAGGATTAAGGCCTTGGGGAAGAAAGGTTTAGACCCATTTGGATGTGGGTGATGTTGGTTATGTGATGAAAGGGTTTGGTTTGTACTTTAAAGCCCAAGGGTATCGGTAAAGGCGTTGGTTCGGGCCTTTATGAATTTTGGATTTAATTTCTGTTGATTTTCAGACTAAATAAAGTTTATAGAAGTGTAGGGCTTCTCGTTAACTTTCCGTGGATATAAAAAAACATCGAAAACGGATAAGAGATGCAAAAGTTATGATCATTTGAAGTTAGAAGGGTTTGGACCAAACCGGGTACGCATGGCGTACAAGGGAGGTACGTATGGCGTACAAGGGAATTTGGACGCGGAAGCATTTGGGAACGTACGACGTTCGTCAGGCCAGATTAAAACCCTAATTTAGGGTCTTGGACCCTATTTAAAGACCTTAACTCACCTCCAACCCTATTTCCTTGAGCCTCCATCCTCTCTAACCCTAAGAGCGAAACCCTAGCCTCCATTTGAGTGATTCTTGAGCTTCATAGTGGTTTAAGTGTGTTTTTGGTGCTTGAGGAGGAGGAGGAAGAATGAGCTTCTTGAAGAGTCATTGATTGGCTTGTAGCTTTTGGATCCAAGCTTTATTCAGATAGATCTAGCTTTTGGAGGTATAAAGTCTCAACCTTGATAACTCTTTCATATAGATCTATCTAAGTGGGATTTTGTTATGGTTTTGGTTCC